GAATACATTCTAGGGGGAATGCTTCAAATAAAAGTTGTAGGATTTTCCTCAAACTATCAGTCGGTGACCTTGAATTCGACCTTGATGTTGTTCTTGAGGGTTTTTTGAAGGTCAGCTTCGAAATTTCAAATATCAATTCCTACCTTTGTTTCCGGTAATGGGTCGAGGAAAAATTTTACGTCCAAATATGATCTTGAATTTCTTTCATATTTGAACTTCAGTGAACCCTCAAAGTCGAACTGCCACTAACGCTGGATATCGATAATTCTTCAGAAATCCATCTTAGGGGGAAATGCTTCGTATAAAAGTTCGGGGATTTTTTCTGAGCTATCAGAAGGTGACTTTACATTTTATCATGACCTTGTCCTTGTAGGTCATTTAAAAATCAACTCCAAAAATTTAAATGCAAGTCCTTAATTTAGACCCTGGCAATGAAGCGAGTGAAACATTTAACGTTGAGATATGAATGACCTTCATATTTGACCTTGAAGGACCCTGCGGGCACCTAAGTCAAGGTTAAGGGCCCCGGCCATATAGTGGTAGTTTAACCTTGACCCCCTAAAATGTTTTCCCAAAGACTCATCGAGCCGTTCCGGTACTTTTGCCACACCATGTATAAATCAACATTAACGCCGCAATTACATATAGGTGAATAGCTGCCATTTTCTCAGCCGCTTTTGTTCTCCGCAAATTCGCTTCGCACCATCTCATAACAAGAATAAACAAAGGAAAAACTTGAGGAGTTGAAGTACTTCCGGTCGAAAATCCACCTTTTCCCGATTGCCGCTACCATAATACTGGGCTTTCTCTTCGGCATTCGTGTCCGCGAGTGTCGGAGACATGACATAGACCTTGTACCGCGCACAGCTTGGCCGCAGCCTGGGGAAAGTATGTCACTGCTAATGCGTTACAGCCTTCAACTATGTGCGTATCTGATTTGCGGTTGAGACGAAAAACAAACAGTATTCCCAACTAGCATTTTGTTAAAATGGGGTACCACCCAAGAAAAAGTGTATTTGTCAAATTTTAGTAATTTGATCGTTGAATGATGTCCTTTAAAGTTTAATTGTCTTTAGAGTTGAGTGCTTTGTCAAAAATTGGTAACCACATACCCAATTAGGGCCCTAATAGGGTGTTGACCAAGAGCTTAAACAACTCTTGATATTGACGTAAAATATGCCCTCAATGTTAGGTCCCCTTTGGGCATATAGGTAAAATAAAAAAGGTAAAAATTATGTTATTTGAGTTGATGTAAGGATGCTTTAGTAGATGTTTCTCTACATTTCGATATTGACAGTAGCTGTAAAGCAAATATTTTTACTTTCATGAGCTGTCTAAATATTTGAACCTGAAGACGCTTACCTCACACTAATACGCAGGTTACTCAAAGAAACTCAGCTATCTGGAGTATTGCAGTGATGGTACGTCCCGCTCAATATTCGAACTGTAATACAGAACGTAATTTTGAAGTGATCTTTTCTTCTATATGACACGTTGCAGTACCCACCCTTTTTTTCTTTCGAACAATCTGAATACGGGATTTAAAAAAACCACACAGTATACCAAATGGCAACAACTGTAATTCAAAAAGAGAGAATGATCCCTGTCAGGAATTTCTTCCTATCGTATACACGCAATACGAAGTGGGATTGTAGTAACGTACCTATGTCCTATGGCCAATGGAAAAATCGTTATTTTAGATGACCAAAAATATTTTACTTTGAGTAATTCTGAAATGAAGGGAAACGACGAATTTTATACGGACAACGTAGAGGAATGCACTGACAATGTTAGATACAAACAGAAAGCAAAATCTGCAGATAAAATCCTTGTCTGGTGCGCATTCTCTAAGAGGGTATATCCCAACCTTTTGTGGGAAGAGTTACAGGTGAAGCTTTGAATAGTCAGAGCTATATTGATAACTGCCTTTTTTTATTATGAGGGATATTCGAATAAAGTTGCGTCTGGTAGAGTAGAATGGGCCACCAACACATTATTTTGAGATTATGTCGCGTTGTCAGAGTGTCACGTTACAGTTGTTAACAAAATTCGTTAATTTAGCTTATGTCTAGGGCTCGTACATTTTAGGTCACTGTTACCGAAAATCTGATTTCCAAATCACTCTGTTATAATCACTGCCACAGCAAATTATTTAACATACTTGGCTATAGACAAATGCATCACCAACTAATCTCATTTTTAATAAATAGGTTACCAACCGTGTGTATGAGCAAGAGAGAGCGAAAGAGTATGTTACCTTTATTGTTAAAGTTATGTCAAACTCATGTGGTCTTATACGGCAAAATTATTACTATTTTACCACAAGATGACCTAAATAGTTCTTTCGACCTATTAATAATAAATGACTTCTAAGTTACTTTGGTTTTATTTCCCACTTCTAAGCTATTTTGTGGTCGGATTTAACTAGCACATGTGTTGTGTTAGGTGTACACTGCAGATTCTTGTTGGCTTACATCTTACAAGGAGGCCTTACATATTTCGGGTCACAGACTTACTAGTGTCGAATATTTTTAAGGTGCATAACTCGAAAATAATGCAAACATTTCCAGCAAAAGTATCAGTTTCGACATTTGTAAAAGTTGAGAAAATGCTATATCAAAATAGGTAGACTGATTATGTCGACAGTAGTAGGAAAGTAGGAATTGCTATTGTTTTTTTGGATAATATAATGAATTGGACGTTGAGGAATAAATCATTTATCATTTGAAGATACAAGCTGATAAATGTGTTATGTAACAAAATTATTGTATGGAGAAAATTGACTTTAAACAATTTTTATTGGGACTTTTCACTTTATTAACGTTTTAAATATTTAGTTTAATTAGATTGTTATTACCTTGTTTTTGCAACAAAGTAATCACAGAATGAAATAATCACTCCTTAAGGATAGTTTAATGCAAAAAAGCAATTTTAAAAAGATGTACATGATATCTTTATTCACTTGTGTCTTGATGGTATTAATTACTTCATTTAATAGTACACGGTATGATAAATGGATATTGACTTGATAAAAGCAAGCGATACATAATTCTACTGGCATCCACTACAATAAATAAGAGACATTTTTGAGCAAGCACAAGGTTTTTTTAACGTATCATTTACATTTTGCTATTTGGTGAGAAAGCTTCAGTGCGAACCATGAGCATTAATCATTTTATTAACGAGATGAGATTTCGCGTTTCTGCGCAACTAAATATGAACAGTTCATGTTAAAATGAAACTTTTGATTTGTTGGTAGAAGTAAACATCGCCTGGTTTACAAATCGCAGAGCATTTCGGATGAATAATTTTTTCGATCCATGGTTGGCTGTCGCTTGGTCGGATGAACGAAAACAGCATGTTTAGTTTATTCAACGGCAAGTTGACCAGATCTATTATACAACGATAATCGCCATCCATCTAGCGGTCATATGGTGACTGGGCTATTAAACGCAAACTGAAAAACTTTACAGTTCCAACAGTGGTCGATTCTGGTGATAGAAGGCGTCAGTGTATTTTATACCAGTGTATGTATTTGCCATCACCTTTTACAAATGAATCGAAATCAATAATCACTTGAGTTTGTACATTTTCTTAAAAATGCATTTTTTGCTAGAAACACTTCCATAAGAGCTAATTCAATGGTCCAGTGACAATACCACATGTTAGTAAATTTTTGAGATTCGTGTTTTTGATATCAGTGGATCCATCTTGCCCTAACTCATCAAATTAAATAATCGTTAACAACTTACGCTCATAGAGTTTTTTTACACGACTATTGGGGGATGTTCAAGTACTACGTAAGCAGATTTTTTTCGTCTTCAACGCCTTCTTCTTGAGTATGACTCAACAGGATATAATCCAAGACCTGGCACCGCAACCTGGTTGAGTAGAACCACTAACTAACCAACAAGATGATGAAAGTGTGCAGGGATGAGAGTTGCCCATATTCTTGCAGTTCGATGGATATCAAACATTCTTGATGCAGCAAATGTTTTGCCTACTTTTAGTAGAGTGTTATTGAAATACTGCCATTCACTATTAATACCGACCATACACTAATAATAACAAGTAGACTGATCTTAAAATTGTTTCAGAATACGGTTATTGGTAGGTTCTTGGCGTTGGGTGCATTTCCATGCACATCCCTAACCTAAAAGTATTGGATTAAGATAATAAATAAAAGTAAAACTTTTATCTTCCCTAAAATAGTACAAAGACTGATCAATTCCAGTAATCTTATTAATTATAAAGTTGCGCTATCGTTTTTGTACTTCTTCGTGTTTTGCAACTTGCTGGAGGTAAATATCGATCTTTTTAGTTTGAATTTTCCGGCCAAAGGGTCCATTATTAGTGCCTGGTTTTATTGGACGTTCAATAACTCCCTAATACTCCTAAGGTACCTTCTGTACCAACTTATAGTACAAATCATATTAAGAGTGTCCTTTTCCAGAGAAAACTAGACCAATCAACTTGCTCCGTGGAACGTCAAAAAACGGATTTTGAGCACCTATTCATTTTTGCTGAGATTTGCGAATTCCCTTTCCCCCCAGGCTTCAACGATTTGTAGTAACAGAATCCATTTATACTGGACTATAATGGTACCGAGTTTTTAATTGCTCCTGAGGCTTTATCGTTGACAACCCAACAAATCCGCTTCATGCCATCGTGGTTGCCTATACGCGATACCACCGTTCACCGACCGTACTACCAAAAATCTAGGCTGCCGTGGCATGCAAGCGGTACGATGTGCCGTTATGGCCCGGTCGTACTGTTAGTCATTAGATCGCGCATCACGCCCGGCCAACTAGATAATGGTTCGCGCTCCAACCGTTCGCGTCGACCGAAACGTACGACGATCACAAAACATCCGAAAATCGCTGTCGAGATGACAGGTGTCGTTCGGCGATGCGTCGTCGCCTACTGTTTTCATTGGTGCTGCTCGCGTACGCAAAAGTCGGCGCGGGGTCGTTGATATGGGGCGGAAATGGCAACAGTGCCGGAGGATATTCCAGCAGGATCGCTGCTACAGGTAGTACAGCGTTCACAGTTATACGGTGGTGCCAGGTCATGTAGTTCTATGTTATGTTTTTAGGGTATCAAGTGCAGTCTGGATTTTTCCATATAATCGTGAATATGAGGGACATTAGAAAAAAATCTACCTAGCTCTAAAATGATTTTTTCAACAGTTTTATCTTTAATATAATCCTACAACAATGCACATGCGCCATTTCTCCTTCAGTGAGCCATGCTTGTATAAAATAATGTTTATTCCTCTTGACTCTGAAAAAAGTCATTGACGACTGCTTTTAGGCCTTCTTCTGAGTTAAAACGGCATCCTCAAAGATTTGTCTTGAGCAATCTAAAGATATAAAAGTCGGAAGGAGCTAAGTCCGAATTAAAGGATGGACGGAATTTCTATCTGCATTTATTGTTGTCCCTTTTGGCCAATATTCAACGAGAAGCTGTTGTCTTCAATTTTCCGGTAGAGGGTTGCGACCGTAACTTTGGTGGGTTAGAGACCCTTTGTAAGCCCACTGTTTGGATTCCGTTCTTGTCTCAGGATTCCAATTTCATCCTGAGTCTCATCGCTTGTCACAATTTGTACCAAAAAGTCGAGTCATTTGCTAGCTTTGACCAACGATCTTTTCTGAAATTTCCAACCTGCGCAATTCTTGTGCAGGTGTCAACAGTCGTGAATCTCACCTGGCTGACATCTTTTTCATGTTCGAATTGCCGTGGAAGATTATTATTACGCTGGGTTGCGATATATTCAACGTCAACTTTTTGAGTCACTTCATCATTGTTGCTGTTTTGGATCTTCCACTTCTAGGACCGTATTCTATGGTTTTACGCCCTCATCGAAACTGTTTCGATCCAAACTTTATTGTGTAATATAATGGTGCATAGTCCCCATAGACGGCAACTGTTCTCTCAAGAATTGTTTCTGGCTGATGTCGTTTGTCTGAAATTTTTTAACACTGCAATAATTATAGGTTATACACTTTTCCTCAGAATTCACTTTACAAATTGGAAAGGAATTATCAAAGTGTCACACATGTACTAATTGGCATTTTATGCTTGTTAATTTCAATGTTTTTTTTTTCATGACTAGGTAGATTTCTTTTCTAGTGTCGTTCGTAGTTGTTCAGAATTGGCAATGCACATCTGGCATCATTTTGACGTATTTTATTAGTCCATAGTACAGGGTCCATCAGAAAGAACGCGTGTTTTTTAAATGAAAACACCATAAAGAAGCACAGGTTGACAGGTCCGGGGAGCGAGGGGGCTATGGAATATCGCCATAACGTGAAATGAAACGTCCTGGGAATTTTTGCCGAAGAAGTTCCATCGAAGTGCGAACTGTGTGAGATATTGCCCCGTCTTGTTGGAACCACACTGTTCTGAGACGGACACGTCGACGTCGAAGTTCCGGAAAAAAAGTTGTTCAGCATGTGGATGTAACGCTTCACAGTAGTTGTTTCTCCATCACCCTCAAAAAAATAAGAGCCAATAATCATCGTCGAACCTACTGCACATCAAACTGTAACTTTCAGGGTATGCAGGGAGTGTTCATGCAACTTTTGGGGGTTCACTCGAGACCAATATCGACAATTTTGTTTATTGACGTATCCATGTAAATGAAAATCTGCTTCATGGCTCATAAACAACGTCATGTCATTGTTATCCAACTTTTCAATCATGAGCTGTGCAACATTAATACGTTGTTGGACTTGGATTTAGTAACGATGGAACACTAAATCCTTCTTTGAGATGCGACGTACAGAGGACGCGTGGATCCCTAGGGAACTGGCACCCATACGGACGGAACGATTCGTACTTTGCAGCGGGTCAACTCTCACTCTGTCTACATTTTCGGGGGTTCTAACAGTACGATTTCGCGCTGGTTGTTTTTTATCACATTACCTCTTGTGTTGAATGCTTCCACCCATCTCAAAATGGTGTTACGGTCTGGTACTGTCCGTTCGAACGACAGGCTCGCTATTTCGAAAGTACTGACGTACAGTGAACACACGATGCTCAACGTTCCAAACCATTTTGACAACTGAAACGGCACTTCTTAGACTATCCAACACGTCCTTCCTCACCGACACGGGACTAGCCCACTCGATGTAGTACCCAATTTATAAACATGCGTTCTTTTTGACGGACCCTGTATATTGGGAATTTGAAATAAGGCAAGTTAATCGGAAAAGCGTTATTTTAAGGTTTGACGCTAAATTTTCATGCGAAATCGGACCTGCAGCTACGAAGACGTTACTTCCGCTCCCTCTCACTACTGAAATGTTTACGCAAGTTTGTTATAAATAATAGTATCGATATAATCTGAATCAGCTCTAGCGAGGAAAAAATGGTCAACAATTTGAATTTATAAACGTTTTAGGCGTTAAACGTAACTTACTTAAGTATGATGGGAACCAACATTCGAAAATTGAAAAGCTCTAGAATCCTGAAAGTACTGGCCGTATTATTGTGTATGCGGTGTGTATGTTTTCGACTTCCACCGACTGTTAGAATAAAGATAAACTATAAACATTCTCAGGGAGCACGTGTAATCTAGGAAGTACCTTTATACCTATTCGGAGAAATATTGTTATTCAATTTTTTGCATAATCGGATCAAAAAAGTGAGTCTGTATGTTACGAGTACCAAGCCCTTAAATGCGTCAAACTTTTTTCAAATTTTTAAACAAAAAATGTTATTTTTGCTCCGTCAAAAACTAGTTTTTTTCGATCATCCTGAACATAAAAGGTTTTTATGAACGATTCTCTAAAAATTCTATTTTTCTAGAAAGAAGCAGTTTAGTATTTGTCATTAGTGACTCTGAAAATTTTGATATTGCAAAAGCTTCTAAATATGTTTCAAACATCGGTTGACAAAATTTAAAAGCATTTTAGGGGGTATTGTTCCGGTAAGTTTTGTTTTTCCTATTGTTTTTCTAGGTCAAAAATGGCGTATTTTGTACTTTCTAATGTTATCAACTTCAGATGAAAAGTTCATAAGAACATTTTTGTGCGAAATGACTCAAAAAAAATAAAGCGTTTTGGGATTGGCATCATGCAGATTCGTTGGGTCCTGTTTGGATAACGTCATGGAAAATACCGAATCAGAATATTTTCCCAAGCACATGGAAGATATACTAAGTGACATATAAATCCGAACACCCAGTTTAAATGGTTTTATTTTAATAAAAGTTGGTGAATGTATTTATCTTACTGTAAGTAACAAGTGAAAAAATGTTCAGCCTTATGAGTTGGACATTCCGGTTTTTATACTGCTTCTTTTTAATTCACTAACGCTCTAAAAATGAATATTTCAGCCGCAGTAAAGAATCAACGTTGGCGGATTTTGGTCCTTGACATCCTTTACGATCGGTTACGATGCCTAGAGTACGGACCTGTACGATTTCGTCAACGGCCGTATAGTGGGACTTCGGGAAGCAGGACTTTCTTTTCGGGCAATTGCAGTTAGAGTGCAAAGAAGTGTAGACACTGTGGTTAGGTGTTGTCAGGCATGGCTTCGAGAAGGCCGTACGCAAAGAGCAAGGGGCACTGGACGCCGCCGTAGAACAACAGACCGTGAAGGTCGCCGTCTAAGATTATTGGCCTTAAGGGACCGTTTCTCCACTACCAGGTCCATTGCAAGTGAATGGTTTGCAGAACACGGAAGACCTATTGGCATGCGAAGTGTTTACCGACGAATGAGAAGTTTTGGCTTGTTTTCATACCGGCCACACTGGGTCCTCCCTTTAACTCGAGAACACCGACGTAATCGCCTTGAGTGGTGCAGACAACGGTCACTCTGGGATCAGGAATGGAACAGTATTGTCTTTAGTGACGAGTCTCGATTTTGTTTAGGCATGCACAATGGTCGTGCCAGGGTTAGAAGGCGACGTGGTGAAAGGAGGAATCCACAGTTTTTTGTTGAAAGACATGTTCATCACACTGTTGGAGTTATGGTTTGGGGTGCTATAGCTTATGGTTCCAGGTCACCTTTAATCTTCATCAGAGGTAACATGAACGCGCAGCGTTATATCCACGAAGTTCTAGAACCCCATCTTTTACCCTATCTTGACACCCTGGCAGATCCAACTTTCCAATAAGATAATGCCCGACCACATGTTGCAAGAGTCACAATAGACTTCTTTCAACATAATGATGTCACATTGTTACCATAGCCACCAAGATCTCCCGACTTATCCCCAAATGGGCACGTGTGGGATATGATGGGTAGGAGATTGCTCAATTTGCAACGTCCTCCTCAGACTGTAGAAGCACTTCGAGAGGAGTTGGTGCTTGCCTGGAATGAGATACCACAGGAGGACATTGACCACCTGATCAGAAGCATGCCTAGGCGCGTTGGAGAATGCGTAGCACATCAGGGTGCATCCACACATTATTAAAGGTCAAAGGGCTTTAAATCAGTGCAATCATTTTGAAATTTTTATCATTTACTTATTATGCTTCATTAAGTACTTATACAAAATTTTATTAAAATAAAACCATTTAAACTGGGTGTTCGGATTTATATGTCACTTATTATATCTCTTGGACTATATGTCAGTCATCTTCATTGGCTAATTAACTGTCTACCATCATCTGTTCGGTCTGCCTATAAAAGCACCTCTCGATTTTAAAGAAACTTCGATGCAAGGTTACTAATGTGACAACGATCAGGTTCTGAAATTGGCTCCAGTAATAGAAAAGATACTCAGATATTCGTTTTTTCACGTTCCTCAGCTGACAATTTGTATAGTTTCCTTCCGAAAATGAATCTCTCAGTAACACTTATATCATAAGTTGGTACAGAGTGTAACTATCATCAAAGGTGGGCAAAACACTTTTGTTGCAGGTAGAATGTTCGTGACTATGTTTGGATATCCATCTAACTGCGAGAACATGGGCAACTCTTATCCCTGCACACTTTCATTTGCCTGTTGGTTAGTGGGTGGTTCCAGTCAACCAGGCTGCGGTGCTAGCTCTTGGATTATATCCTGTTGCGTCGTGACCAAGAAAAAGGCGTTGGCTGAGTTTCAGGACACTGGAGATGACTTTCAGACATTAGAGTGAGTAGATAACAATGGCCATGTTCGAGTCAGATCATTTTTGTCCACATTGGACCTGTTCCAAAGTATCCCGTATATTTCACATAATATTTATAAATTAAATAGAAAAATACTATTTCGAAAACAAGCTCTTATTTAGCTGTTCCCAAATTGAACTAGATATTTTAAAATATTGGTTCCCGATTCCAAATATTCAAACGATCATGAAGCTCGTTCATCTCTTACTTTATCTGTATTATAAAATCTCGGTACACAGGGTGTTCCTTAATGATATGCGAATATTTAAGGGTATGAATCTACATAAAAATTAATGTTAGTTTGCTTTATAAACTATGGGCCAAAAATGTTGCCTTACAGAACTCGGGGTGTTGAAGTTTTAGAAAAAAAAATGGAAATGAATATTTTCAGAACCGCTACAGATATTTCACTGATATTTAGTAGGAAGTGAAATTTAATCCAGTTGCATATTTTTCAACGCAAAAATAATTTTTAGCTTTAACAATGGCGTGCGTACGGATATTGACTTCGAAATTTTTTAAGAAAAAAATGGTACGCCAACGGTTTTTTGACAAATAAAGATTATTTTTGAATTCCCCGTTCAGGTTAAAACCAAAGATCTTTCTTGAGTTGTTGTCCTTCGATGCGCCATTTTTGAGTTAAAAGAAAAACATTATATTGTCCGAGAAAATTAATGTAATAATTGAAGAATGCAATTTAGCAGTAAATATCTAATTGCTCTGGAATATGTCACTGGCTTTTGACATCTGACACGTCTTTGTTATTCAAATCTGTTCGCTGTGACATCTTTTTCATTATTTAGTTTTTACAATCTTGTTAATAATGGTGAATTGTTCACATGCAAAAATGGCGAAAATGCATTATGTATATGGCCTTGCCGACGGTAATGGTGAGCAAGCCAGACCGATTTATCACCAGAGATATCCCGATCGTGCTTTGCCAGATAGTCGAACCTGTCCTAATATTCGTCGTCGTTTTGTTGAAACTGGTACTGTCCGAAAATGAACATCTGAAGGTAGACCTCTAAGTGTGAGAACACCTGAAATTGAGGAAGCAGTGCTGCAGGAAGTCGAAGAACATCCCGAAACGGGTAGGATGGAGATCGCTAGATCCTTAAATATTTGTCATTAAATTGTTTGGAGAATTTTGGTGGATGTTATTTTATATCCTTACCATATTTTAAGGGTACAGGCATTACTTCTCATTGATTTTCCAAGGCGTGTGACCTTTTGTCAGTGGTATCTTCAAAAAATTACAAACCTTCCGAATTTCCACAATAATCATTTGTGGACAGAAGAAAATCCCTATGTCGTATCCGAAACCCATTTCCAAAACCAATTTTCGGTAAACGTATGGGCAGGAATTATTGGCAGCCACTTTACTGGCCTATTCTTCTTGCAGGGACTTGACGGACAGACTTAACTCAATTTTATTCAACAACAGTTCCCGTTGCTGCTTGATGATGTTCCGTTAGTAATAAGAAACAATTATCAAATCCAAGCAAATAACCAATATTTCCGTATTATGTACCGCGGTTATAATATAGTTCAAGATGGCACACGGGATGATGACGTCAGTTACTCGAGTCGCTTGAACGCCTTGGTTTTAACCGCGGTTTGTTTCAAGTTTTTTTATTTTAGAAAAGCGCGTATATAATTTCTGATTATTTTTATTATCACTTAATAATACGTGCTTTTTCAGCTACAAGGGGGTATGGAAAGTTGAAAAAAAGAAAACCTTCATAATGTTAATGGGAGGAATGTTTTTTTTTTCAGAAAAAATTTTATACTGATGGAACCATGGCTTTGTAGCTATGATAACTTTCAACTTTCTAAACTTTTCCGCGTATCAAAGAAATTATTTGATTTAGCAGAAATGATGAAAAAACGATGAAAAAAGATATTAACAAAACTGTATACAGGTGGACATCATACAGTGAGTTTATATGGCCATATTTCAATATTCGTGTGGTATATGGCTATACAGGATACTTTGTTGAGCATAGGAATTAGATTTAAAGTGCCCCCAACAACAGTAATGATTATAACTAATAAGGTGCTTTCTTATGCTAAAACTGAAGTCAGCCTGTATCAAGTTTCCCGAAAATGAAGCTGAAGTACAATAAAATATCCAACACTCGGCAAAATTCTAACTTGTCACATGTCAAATAATAACCATAAATATAAAACTACCCTGAGTTGAGTAAATACCACAATTTTGCGGTGATAACTATGACGTATAACAGCTGATTCATGACGTCACGGATCTTATAACCAAACTGATAACCACACTCGCTTGAACGGATCGGTAAATACCAATCCAAAATGGTAAATACCATTTTTATTTGGTTATCCGCTTGATTTTGATTATAGTGTGGTACATGCATGATGGTGAACCTGCGCATTTCAGTTTAGCGGTTCGTAATTATTTACAAACTGTTTATCCAAATCGTTGGATTGGCCGCGGTGGGCCCCAAGAATGGCCACCAAGGTCCCCAGACCTCAACAGTTTAGATTTCTTTTTGTGGGGCTATCTACACTGGTGTAGTAACAGGGTACAGGAATTAAGAGAAAGGATAGTTGCAGCTTGTGATAGAATAAAAATCACTCCATGGATATTTCAAGGAGTGCGCAATTCCATGAGAAGCAGGACGGAAGCATCCATACTAAGTGAAGGGGGCCATTTTCAACAATTTTTGTAATCATATCGTTGGTTTTAATGGTATGTTTATGTTGTCAGTTGTTGTTGTCCAGTACCCCTAATGTGTTTAATTTTTGTTTAATAATAATTTTGCAAGTTAGACAATAGAACGGTATTTATTTTTTTACTCAAAAATAGCGCATCGAAGGAAACCAACTCAAGAAAGATCATTTGTTTTAAATTGAACAGGGAATTCAAAAAGAATTTTATTTGGCAAAAAACCATTGACGTACCATTTTTTTCTTAAAAAATATCGGAGTTAATACTCGTAAGCACGCCACTGTTAAAGCTAAAAATTACTTTTGCATTGAAAATATGCAACTTTATTAACTTTCACTACGTGCTAAATATCAGTGAAATATCTGAAGCAGTTCTGAAAATATTAATTAATTTCCATTTTTTTCCTAAAACTTCAACACCCCGAGTTTCTGTAAGGAAACACTTTTGGACCATAGTTTATAAAGCAAACTAACATGTAGATTCACACCCTTGAATATTCGCATGTCATTAAGGAACACCCTGTATAACTTTCATGTTTTATTAATAAGAATCCATAAAAATTCTTACTTTATCTGTATTATAAAATCTCGGTATATAAATCATAAAATGAGAACTGGATATTTTGCGGCATTAACCAAAATGAATTTAGATTGACTTGATTTGCTTATCGTGTTTCCTTCATCAAGCCCTTTTGTTTGATATACCCATGGCGTACGGGTGACGATGAAATATGTAAATCATCATTAGAATAACGTCACTTTGCTTATTGTGTTACCCATATCATAGGAGTTACTATAGATACGATGAATCGCCATTTTATAGTATCCGCCATATTTGATTCAAAATGGCGGCAGTTAATTCATTTTGTAGTGTCACGCATGTGAAACATCTGTACAACGTATCGGCTATGTTGGTTAAGGTTAACTGGTTCAAAATTCAGTTCCAAGATTTGTCCCAGTCATACATATATACTAACTTGCAAAATATTGGTCAAGTTAAATAAAATTTTGAAAGATGTATCGAACTGTGGCGAACAAGTGGATACGTAGCTTTAAATCCATCGATTTCAGACGCATAAAAATTATTATCTTCTGTTCCACTTATGCTAGGGACAAAAAAGCTTATAGGGTTTGGAGATCATCCCAGTGATGACAAAATTGTAAGTGAAAAATTAGAAGTTTCAGAGTGTTCCCATGCTTCATTTTGCAATTTTTCATGAGCGTCTGGCAATTCACAAGTGTAAGTTTTTTTTTAAGCATCGAGGAACAGAATTCCATCCATTATTTTCCGACAATAGAAACACGTGAGAACGGCTGAATCTATCTACTTGACCCCTTGGGTATTTAACGTCACGCGGACTGCTAAAATAAAGCGAAATTTCAAAATCCGTTCATATTGGGCCTGTTTGAACATCTGCTGGTTGTAAAAGAAAAAACACCGCTAATTCTTGACCCAGTTATAACTTTGAAAGTACCGGTCCGATTTTGTTGAAATTTAGTCACAAGGTCCAAGAAGTCCTAACTTGTGCCAAACACAATCTTTAGGAACATATCTTGTTTAACCGCATTAGAAGTTACGTCAACAACTGTAATGCTATTATAATGACTGTTATAGGAAAACAGTGTTCGGCTATTCTTCTCTTGAAGTGATTTGGTACTGCAACGATATATGCGTCAAATATAAATAAAATTACCTGCTAGATCTGTCATAACAATGAGGTCTTTCATTTGTTACACTAACTGTACGGAAAAGTTGCGGGCTTTTCCCCATTTTTGAAGTCTCACTAATTGGGTCCGCCAGTGTACATTCCGCATGAGATATTCATACGCCAATTTGGTATTCCATTTTATCATCCGACATGTCCGACGTCATATTTTACGGCTCGCGCTTTGCAATTTCTCTTTGTAGTTTTTTATATCAACCCATACACACACATGGACAAAACCAAGGTTTATGAACAACAGGAAGTTAAGTCACTTGCGGAAAAACTTTGCAAAAGATCGCAAAAACGGCATTATTTAGAACGCTCCTCAAGCAGGCGAATATTTTTTCAAGTTATTACTCATCAACTTGACAAGTTCTATATTAAAATAATAGAACACAAGCTACACGGTATTACTCAAGCAGACGTGCTAAGCTACTGAGATTTGACATATTTTCCATACGCGGATTTACGTAATTCTGAATTCAAGTATCGAATTAGGATTCCGCATACATCCTAGTCTGACTAAAAATGTACAGTCATGGACAAAAGTATATAGTACAAATATGAATATTTACCT